GCTCGCCGGGGCCCCGGGGCCTGAAGGCCGAGCAGCTTTTCGGGAGAGGCTCCCACTGGTCGTCCCGGGGCCCTCTAGGGACGCCCCGACGTCCGGAGGCAGACGGGCCGACGGGAGTTTTGTTCCCTGGCTCCGTCTGCAGGATCTCGGGGTTCCCGAAGCGGCCTCCGGAATGCGGAGCCCCCACCGTCTTTCCTGGCGACCCCGTCTGCCGGGATGCTGCGGCGGAAATGCCCCTACCCCTTGTTCTCTTAGCGGCCCTTAGTTGGGGCGGGAGCTCCAGGGACAAAGCCGGCCGGCGGCGCTGCCCAACCTAAGCGGACGCGGACTAGACTTTGCAGACACCTCTGGATTGCCACCGAGGTCCGGGGCACTCTCAGCCCAGGAGGGGAAGGTGTTGGTTGGAGAAACGAGACCAAGCCACCCCAGAGCCCTGGAGTCCACAAGGGTGGCTTCATCCTTGGCCGGGACACTGCAAAATGGGCTGATGAACCTGCGGCCTCCCCCTAGAGAGGCTAGGCTTCCTGTGTTCTCTCCCACACCTACAAGGCAGGCTCCTCAGGTTGCCCTACAGAAGGTCTTCTCCAGACCCAGAGCAAACACAAATCCTTAACAGCATCCCAGGCCTGTCCTGTCCACTGAAGGGGGGGGGGGGGGCGGTGCGGGGTCCTGACAGAGGTCCAAGGCCTTCAGAACCACTATTCTGCCTTGGGCTTCTCAGGTGAGTCCTGTCCAGCTCTCCACACAGCTAGAGTGGAGGCTCTAATCATCTGGAATCTTCCAGACAGGGATGGGATGAGAGGCTGGGATGCCCTGATGAGGCCAGAGATCTGAGAGTGCCTGATATTGGTCCCCACCCCCTGCCCCACACCCACCCTGGGGCTCTTCTCTCTTCTGCGGCAGGCATATGTGGTTTGGGCTTGACCCCTATCACTGACCAGCAGGGTGGCGTTCAGCAGGCCTCAACCCTCCTGGACCCTCAGAGTCTACAGTGTAAAACACAAACCCACAACACAGGGCTGTGGTGGAGACACAGAAGGAACCAGGCCTGGAAAGGGCAGGGGAGCTTCTAGAGGAGCCCCCAAGGGTGATGCGGCTTTCATTGGTAAGACAAAGTGGCCCTGTCTGGAAGATTCCAGATGATTAGAGCCTCCACTCTAGCT